GGACTCCTGCTCTTGGTTAGAAGTATTTGCCTTCATTTCTGCTAGCACAGTTCACCAAAAACCCAACTGATCTCAAACACTATTAATTCATCAATGGAGTCTAACAGAGTTTTAAGGTGTGTGTGTGTGTGTGGGTGTGGGTGGGTGTGGGTGTGGGTGTGTGTGTAGAGATGGGATCTCACTATGTTGTCCAGACTGGTCTTAAACACCTAAGCTCAAGTTCTCCTGTCTCAGCCTCCCAATGTGCTAGAACTACAGTCATGAGCCACCATGCCCAACCCTCTAAGACTTTGGGATACAAAAATGTAATTTACTTTTCTCCATTTCTGGTATAAAACATCTCTTCCTTCCTCCTTCTAGTTTCTGTTCTGTGCTCCTGTTTGATCTCTGTTGGTCCTGTAAACCTTCAGCCTTCTGTTCTGAAGGAGGAAAGGCTTGGTTTTATAAAAAGTGACAATATTCAGACCACATAAGATCCTTCTTGCTTCATTTTGGCTTAAATATTTTAAGATTTTCTGATTTTCTTGTATGTATATGTATTTACCTATTATTTGACTTTATTGAACAACTTCAAATTGAGTATATTTGAACGAGAGTAGGCATTCAAAAGTGCTAGGCTTTCCCTGCCTTTCAGAACTTTGAGGTATATGTCACATCATTTTGTCCTTCACATTCTCCAGTTGTGCTAATTTTTCCGAATCCATTGAGTCAAGTAGAGTACCTTCCTTTTTGCAGTCATATTCTTAATTTTTTTTTTTTTTTTTTTTTTTTGAGACAGTCTCAAACTGTTGCCCAGGCTGGAATGCAGTGGTTCAATCTCAGCTCACTGTAAGCCTTGTGAGTAGCTGAGACTACAGGAGCATGCCACCACGCCCAGCTAATTTTTGTATTTTTAGTAAAGATGGGGTTTCACCATGTTGGCCAAGCTGGTCTCAAACTCCTGACCTCAAGTGATGTGCCCAGCTTGGCCTCCCAAAGTGCTGGGATTATAGGCGTGAGCCACCACATCCGGCCTCTTACTTAAATCTCTTAGTGCCCCTTAGAATGTAGTTAAGAATTTTCAGGTGACAGTATATTTTTGATAGTTATCTTTGGTTTCCAAACCTAGAGAAGGAAGACAGACTGGCTTTCTCCGTGTGTGGGTACATCGTGTCTTAATTGGAAATTGTTTTGTTTCAAGTATTGCTGCAGAGTATTTTATTAATGGTTATACTTTAAAATTTTTTGTTTTTCAGATTAACAGTTTAGGTAACCCAGTACTTGATATTTGCCAATTACTAGAATTAAAAACATGTATGTATCACTGGTTAACTAGAAATTTAAAATGAAAATGTTTCTTCTTTAGCCCAGGCAGTATCACTTGGATTAATTTCTATCCCCTCCCTGTCCCTACTCTATCAGCTCAGTGGCTTCTTCCGCTAAGCTGGTGCTTTCTTTATAGCTCCTCCTGTGCACTAAACCTTTATTGTTCACTAAACCTTTATTGGTTCATAGCCTACAGAAAATACCTGTGGTGTGAGAGGTAATTTGTGAAACTGCCTCTCTTCCCTGTTTAGCAGTTGAGCTCTCTAAGTGGGTGTAGCTGGGAAAGAAAATTTAACTTTACAAACAAGAATTCCTGGGTTCCATCCAGTGGAACATGTCTTTTGTTATACACACAGTTTCTGACTCATATCGTTCCATGACTTATAATAAAGTGGACATTTTGTTTACACTGTTGTGTGGAAGGAGGGGTCTGGTTTCTAATTTTTAATAGCATCTATTTCTAGAATATAGGCTTGCCATTTGAATGCTTCTGTTTTTTTAGTTTCTAAGTTAAAAGAAAGTAACTTTTCCTCCACTTCAGAAAGCAAGGAAAATTAAAAATAATGTGATGACTTCCACAGGCTCTAAAAGAGCAATGAAAAAAGTGATTTATGTGTGGGAGAAGAAATACTAGTTCTTAATTAATACATTGTTTTACCACTTCCTGTGAATTTATGTAGAAGTAATAAACTTATTAAGTCATTTATTCAAACTCTTGTCAGTTTAGACTTTTTAATTGCTTTATTACCTGCCATTACTTTGTAATACTTGTTATAGCAGTGGTAATAGTTGAGATTTGCATATTGACCACTTGCAGGGCACTGTGCCAGATTCCCCACATGTGATGTTCCTCCCAGTTATGACACCCATCCCAGGAGAGCAGTGTTAACGCCCCCCATGCAAGCACATGGTGCAGGCTGGGTGACCTGGGCACAGTGCCTGACCGTTTCCCTGGCTTACTGTAGTTATCATTAAATCATATGTGGTATTACTTAGAAGCATTTTGAATAATTTGAAAAGCACGTTTTAGTGTTTAAACAATTTTTTTTGTTTGTTTGAGAAAAGGTCTGGCTTTGTTGCTGGGGTGGAGTGCAGTGACCTGAGCATAGCTCACTGCAGCCTGCATCTCCTGGGCTCAAGCGATTCTCCTGCCTCAGCCTCCTGAGCAACTGGGACTACAGGCACATGCCCCCACCCCCAACTCAATTTTTTTTTTTAAGATACGAAGGCTCAATCTTAATATTATTTACAATTTTTTTTTCCTTTTCTTTGGGCCTTATCTGACTGGAAATTCTTTTTAAATTTTTTATTTTTTAAGTTGTAAATTGACAAATTATAGATATATATTTATGAGCTACAAAGTAATTTTATGATTTATGAATACAACATTGCATAATTAAGTCAAGCTGACTAACCTGTTCACCACTGGAAACAATTGCAAATCATTATCATTTTTTCTGGTGAGAACATCTGAAATTTACTCAGTGCTTTTGAAATGTGCAGTACTTTTTGTTGTTGTAGAAATGTGGTCTCACTCTGTTGGCCAGGCTGGTTTCAAACTCTGAGCTCAAGTGATCCTCCCACTTCAGCCTTCTGGTGTTGGGATTACAAGCGTGAACTACCACGTTGGGCCAGATGTATAATCTATTATTATTTACTGTATTCACCATGCTGTGCAATCTATCTCAAAAAAACTTACCCCTCCTGCCTAATTGAGGCTTTGTACCCTTTGACCATCATCTCCTCATCACCCCCATCCCCAATTTTGTATACTTGGAGTCCTTTCATGATATATGTGGAGGCTTATGGTAAGTTATTTAAAACTTACATGTATGTCAAAATTTTTTGTGGCCGTAGCTTTTCTTTTTTAAATTTTAAGAGCCAGAATATTTGTATATTTATTCAGCATGTATTTGAGTGCCTAATATATGCCATTTTCTATGTTAGGAACCAGAAATTAAAGCAGCGAACAAAACACAGTCTGCCCTCATGGTGCTAATTCGCCAGGTAGGGAAGCCAGATAATAAACACATGTATAATGCGAAGTCAGTAATAATAAACGATATGAAGAAACAAGTAAGGGAGGAGAGGCAGGAAAGTGGGGGTGAGAAAGAGGTGCTCTTAAATACAGTGGTCAGGGAGAGCCTCTCAGAATGAAGTTTTTAACAGACCTGAATGAAATGGGGGAGTGAGCTATACAGATATGTGCTGTGTGCTAGAAAAATTACCTGTAATTTTGCATTCTAAAAGTTTAATAATGAGTACATTTATCTCACAATTTGAGAATCAATTATATACAAGATACAGTTCTAAGCACATACTCCTAAGTATAATTTGTTGTTTTTACAGTAGACCAAATAAGTATGCTCAGCTTCAGAATATGCTCTTTATGATCATGTGTACAATAAATAAATTCTCTTATAACATTATCAGTATTAAGGTTGATGTTTTCAGAAACATATAAAGAAACTAGCTTTTAAAATTGACTAGGGAAGTTCTCTCAAACTGCCAGTCCATGAGATACTGTATATTTTCTATCTGAAAAACTTTTATTCTCAGAATTCTTTAAAAGAGATGTCGCTGGGGCTCCCATTACTTACCTGTGACTCCCAGTGGAAATCATACCCAGCCCTTCAAGAGGGGCTGAATCCGTTGGGAGTCGGGGGGTAGAAAAAAATGCTGCAGCTGCTTGTGGGTATCCTTCACACACAAACACACAGTGCCCCAAGCACTGTGCAGTCAAATGTCGACCCCGCTCGGACTTTCCTCCTCGGGGTTGAGAAGCAGTGGACTATAGAGAAAGAAAGGTGGCTTAGCACTCCAAAACTTGGAAGGGTAATTGACCAAGACCCCTAAAGCCAAAGCAGTGGGCAGCCCCACTTCCTGTATCCCCTACACCAACACCTAATGGCTACAAGATACAGGGGTACTAGCACCTGTCTGCTTGGCTGCCTCCCCTTCTTACAGTAGTGGTGAAGGGAATCACTCAGCCTCAGGAAGGGAAAATGGCTTTCTCATCTTCAAATTGAAAGAGGTTGGCCGTGGGTGAGGAGAATAACAGGTAAGGATCTCTTTCAGTATCCCCATTTGAAGCCAGAACCTCTGTTTAGACATACAGTATTTTGAACCTGGTGACTATTCATTGCCAGTGCTTCTGAATTACCAGAAAGCAGAATTCTTGCCAGGCACAATGGCTCATACCTGTAATCCCAGCACTTTGGGATGCCAAGGTGGGAGGATCACTTGAGCCCAGGAGTTTGAGACCAACCTGGGCAACATGATGAGATCCTGTCTCTACAAAAAATTCAAAAATTAGCTGGGCATGGTGGCATGCACTTGTGGTCCCAGCTACTCAGGAGGCCAAGGTGGGAGGATTACCTGAGCCCGGGAGGTTGAGGCTACAGTAAGCCATGTCTGTGCCACTACACTCAGCCTGAGCAACACAGCAAGACCGTGTTTCCCACCCCAACCACGCCTACCCCGCCCCCGCCAGAAAAAGCAAGCTGAATTCTTGAATTCCCTGCAACCAGGTCACCCAAATCAAAGGTAAAAGGAACATAAAAAAGCCTTCTGGAAAGTGTAAAAAAATTCATTGCAGAGTGATGTTTGTCTTGTGAAATCATAGTTAAGTTTGTTCTAAATATATCCCCTTCTTTCTCACCCACCCCAACACATTTTTTTTAAAAAACCACCAGGTATCCGTTACAGCACTGACGTGAGTGTAGATGAAGTAAAAGCTTTGGCTTCTCTGATGACATACAAGTGTGCAGTGGTTGGTAAGTGATCGCCTTTCTTGCTGCCTAATGACAACTCTGGGGAAATAAACATAACACATGGTTACTGTTAAGATGCTATAGAAATATACCTTATCAGAACTGATTTTTTTTTAAGTTGTACTAAGACCTGCATCATTTTTCAATTAGTCTAAATTAAGATATAGCCTCTTTTTAACATGGGGATTTTTTAAAATAGGAGCTAATTGGATTTTAAGTCTATATCTTTGTTTTCAATTTCTCAACACATTCTGTAAATAAGACCAAATTATAGTAGAAGGATAGTAAATAAGCTATTATCTTTTAGAAGTGGTAAAGAGCACTCATTAAATATGTATTAGAACTTGGCTAGCCAATTTTATTGAACAATTTCTGTTCAATAAAATGTTGCTTGAAGTACAGTTTAGAAAATGATGGTAGGTTTATTTCTTGAATTTTCAGAAATTCAGGCTTAAAGCATCACGTTTTTCTAATATTGTGTGGTGCTTTCTGTCATCTTACTTTTTTTACCGTTTATATGGAATAGCAACCATCAGCCTTCTCTTTCAGATGTGCCGTTTGGGGGTGCTAAAGCTGGTGTTAAGATCAATCCCAAGAGCTATACTGTAAGTATGAAAGTGATATTTGTTTTTTTGGGTTTTTTGTTTGTTTCTTTGTTTGTTTTCTTGGAGACAGAGTCTTACTCTGTTGCCCAGGCTGGAGTACAATGACGCGATCTCAGCTCGCTGCAGCCTCCGCCTCCTGGGTTCAAGCGATTCTCCTTGATCCATAACTAGGATTACAGGTGCATGCCACCATGCCCAACTAATTTTTGTATTTTTAGTAGAGAGGGGATTTCACCATGTTGGCCAGGCTGGTCTTGAACTCCTGACCTCAGGTGATCCGCCTGCCTCGGCCTCCCAGAGTGCTAGGATTGCAGGCGTGAGCCACCGCACCCGGCCTCAAAGTGACATTTGTGCACACAGTGCATTTATGAAGGACTTGAAATTACTGGACTTCCCTGTATCCCCTATATCAGTGAGATCAGTAGTCCCCATTGGTTTTCAAATGAAATAGAAAAATGTAAAGAATTAACTCATTGAGTGTTTTGCCATATAAAGATCACCTACTTAATATGTATGTCCTTTATCATTTTCTGTTTTGTTTGATTTTGTTTTTATGAGTCTTTCATTCTACTTTTTTGCTTTTTGTTTTATTATTTTCTTAATTAATATCTTCATATTGTTAGACACTTATACCCATATTTAAGAATTACTGTGATCTGATTAGCCAGGCGTATTGGTGCATACCTGTAATCCCAGCTACTCTAAGGAGGCTCAGGCATGAGAATTGCTTGAACCCAGGAGGTGGAGATTGCAGTGAGCCAAGATTTCTCTGCTGCACTCTAGCCTGGGCAACAGAGCAAGACTGTGTCTCAAAAAGAAAAAAGTATTACTGTGATCTGAAGTTATTATGTCAGGATCTCATTCTAGTGACAAATATCTTAATTAAGACTATGAAAACCTTACTTTTTATCCAGTCAGTTCCAAGTTAATTCAAACTGGTTGTCCCCATGCTTTACATAATACTAAATTATATTCAGACATAAATGCATGAGATTTTTATTCTCTTTAAAATTCACCATTTAAATGGATATAATTATATTTCAATTAATCTTAATTAAGATTTAGTGTGGTTTTCAGTGGGGAATTAGTAGAACGGGAATTTGAGCCCTAGTTCTACTATCTTGTTTTTATAACCTACTTTTTTGATCCCTTATTTTCTCACCTTTAAAATGGCAATGCCTAGTTTATGAGTTGTTCTAAGGATTACATGAGAAGACATATGAAAATGTACTATAAATAGAAAGTGAGATGCTAGCTATAATCTCAAGTGATCTTTATATCAATTTTTTCTTTCATTTTTGTTGTTTTCTTATTTTACAGGATAATGAATTGGAAAAGATCACAAGGAGGTTCACCATGGAGCTAGCAAAGAAGGGCTTTATTGGTATGTGTAGCCACATAGATTTTGGTATAAAGTGGGAACATCTAAAAATTTCTTTTTTTTTTTTTTTTGTGAGACAGTCTCACTCTATTGCCCAGACTGGAGTACAGTGGTATGATCTCATCTGCCTCCTGGGTTCAAGCAGTTCTTTTGTCTCAGCCTCCCAAGTAGCTGAGATTACAGGTGTGTGCCACCACACCCAGCTGATTTTTGTATTTTTACTAGAGATGGGGTTTTGCCATGTTGGTCAGGCTGGTCTTGAACTCCTGACCTCAGGTAATCCACCCATATCGGACTCCAAAGTGCTGGTATTACAGACATGAGCCACTGTGCCCGGCCTCCTACTATTTGTTATAGGAGCTTTTGCCAAACATACAATGTTTCTGAAGATACTAATCTTCGTTTGCTTAATGTTTTTGTATCTTACTATTATCTGTGTTTATAAGTTCTTTGTGCGCAATCTGAATATTCTTTTCTATGATATGTAAATATTTGTCATGTATCTTTTATTTTTCAAGCAGTTTAAACCTTTCTATTTTTTTTTATCTAAAAGGCCTCTAATTTGTTTGAATAGAATATACATAGTTACCTAATAGAATGCTTGCCCTATCAGTATAGTTAATAGAATGTTAATAGTTACTTAATAATAGAATACTTGCCCTATCAGTATCAGTATAGTTAAACAAAATAAGGTCTACTTAAATAGGAAATAAAGTGTATTTTTCTCTACTTTCTTTTCTCAGCATTTCCCCCACCATGGACAAGTTCCTATGAAATTAAACTATAAAGACTGGGCATGGTGGCTCGTGCTTGTAATCCCAGCATTTTTGGAGGCTGAGGCCTGGAAGTTCGAGATCACCCTGGGCAATATAGCAAGCCCCATCTCTACAAAAAATGAAAACATTATCCAAGCATGATGTTGCATGTCTGTGGTCCCAACTACTAAGATGGGAGGATCACTTAAGCCTGGGAGGTCGAGGCTGTAGTGAGCTGTGATCGTGCCACTGCACTCTGGCCTGAGCGACAAAATGAGACCACATCTCAAGAAGAACGAGAAAAGAAATAAAGCTATTCAGATTCATTTTTAGGAAAAAAAAGTCATGAAATAAGTGTCATGAAATAACGTAATATAGAAATACAGTAAGTATAGGTAACTCTAAAACTTAATTAGATTTGGCCTATCTTTCATAATAAAAGGCATTTGGGCCTTTGACATGCCGCATCCCCAGCACTGCTGTGAACTTGTGCATCATTGCACGGAGCCTGTTAACATAAGTTAACATGAGTTAACTACCTCCCTCACACTTTTACAGGAGTACCTACTGATTCTGAGATGTGGCAAATCGAAGTTATGTTCATCCTGTTAATAGCCTTCATAATTTTTATAAGGTCTTTCCTCTTCACCTAAATCTCAAACACATTTAGTAGTCTTGAATGGTTTCAGACTTTATTCAGTCATATTTATCACCCATATCTGTAATATCTCCAGCTTAATTGTATCAGTCTTGACAAGTACCTAATAATTCCAAAGGTCAAAAAGTGATTCCTTGGAATACTGAAAGAAAACACAGCTTAAACCCTAGTAACTTGATTTATTTGCATAATTCGCAAAAACCTTATTGACCCAGGATGCAGCTAAACTGACATCTGGGCCCAGACAGCATTGAAGCCTAGGAGGTAGGCAAAGGGAGTTTTTTCTCTCACTCTAGGCAAACCTTCAAGTTTGATGTTATTTATCTGTTATTTCCTGACTGCCCTTTCCACAGAGAGTGTCAGACTGAGGCTCAGACCTGAGCCTGAAACCTGATCCTGTCACATGTGTGTTTAACCTCAGCTTGTAAATTTCTGCAAAACAAAACAAAAAAGAAGAGGCTGGGATTTTGATTGAATCTGTACACCGATTTGTGGAGTATTGCCGTCTTCCCCACCCTCCCCAAAAGGGTTTTGCCCTTTCACCCAGGCTGGAGTACCAGGCAGCAGTCACTGCAACCTTGACCTCCTGGGCTCAAGCAATCCTCTCACCTCACCCTCCCAAGTAGCTAGAACCACAGGCATGCACAACTGCGCCTGGCTAATTTTTTAATTTTTTGTAGAGACAAGGTCTCATCACGTATCTCAGACTGGTCTCAAACTCCTGAGCTCAAGCAGTCTTCCCACCTCAGCTTCCCAAAATACTGGGATTATAGGCATGAGCCACTGCACTCGACCAGTATTGCCGTCTTAACCATATTAAGCCTTCCAATGCTGAATATGATATGTCTTTCCATTTATTTAGGACTCTTGATTTATTTCAATGATGTTTTATAGTTCTCGTTGTAGAAGTCTGACAACTAAATATTTTACTCCTTTTAATGCTATTGTAAGTGACATTGGTCTATAGTTTTCTTATGATGTCTTTGTCTATCAGGACAATTCTAGCCTCATGGAATGAGTTGAGGAGTATTCCTTCCTCTTCTGCTTTTGGAAAAGCTTTTGAAAGGTCCATGTTCATTCTCTTGTGTGAGTGTAAATATCACCTATGTAAAGTTCTGCAGGATCCTGATGTCTCCAGCCTTCTCATCCCCTTATATCTCTGTGCACCAAAATTACCCTTTCATCTCCAACTCTAGTCACATGCTGTTAGAAAAGTTGCTTTTTTTAAAAAAAGATTAACTTCCGCCTCATACTTTTTCTCTATATAAGAATTTATCTGTTAGGCAGGGCATGGTGGCTCATGCCTGTAATCCCAGCACTTTGGGAGGCTGAGGCAGGTGGATCAGCTGAGGTCAGGAGTTTGAGACCAGCCTGGCAAACATGGTAAAACGCCATCTCTACTAAAAATAAAAAAAAATTAGCCAGGCATGGTGGCCGGTACCTGTAATCCCAGCTACTCAGGAGGCTGAGGCAGGAAAATTGCTTGAACCTGGAAAGCGGAGGTTGCAGTGAGTCGAGATCATGCCACTGTACTCCAGCGTGGGCAACAAGAGTGTAACTCTGTCTCAAAAAATAAAAATTTAAAAAAAAAAAAAAAGAATGTATCTGTTTTTCAGCAACTACTTGGTTTTTTTAAGACAGAGTCTTGCTCTGTCACCAGACTGGAGCTCACTGCAACGTCTGCCTCCCCGGTTCAAGCAATTCTCCTGCCTCAGCCTCCCGAGTAGCTGGGAGTATGGGCACACGCCTCCACACCCAGCTAATTTTTGTATTTTTAGGAGAGACAGGGTTCAACATGTTGGTCAGGCTGAGCTCGAGCTCCTGACCTTGTGATCCGTCCTCCTCAGCCTCCCAAGGTGCTGGGATTACAGCCGTGAGCCACTGTGCCCAGCCTAATAGTTTAACCATTTTTTAAGTTGTGTTTTTCATTTTGTAAAAATGAGTTTGTATTTTACAGTTGAAATAATATAGAAAGTTATAAACAATATCTATATGGGGAGGAAGAGAGAAAGGGCAAGAGAAAGAAAATTGTAAGTGGGAACATGTTATACATGCTGTATGAAACCTGCCTTTTTCCATATGTATGTTTGTGATAATTCCAAGTAATTTACATGGATATAAGTTACCCTTTCTAATGGCTGTTTAGTACTTTGCATAGGTATACCATAGTTCATTTAATTGATGTACAAGATAATTAGGTTGTTTTTATTTTTACTATGTTTGAGAGGAGTATTTCTGCACCTTTACAGATTTGAGTGAGCATCACTTAACATGTTTTTATCAGAGATCTTACTGTAGCCGTCAGTAGTAGTGCAGTCAGTGATTCCTGTTATTGCCTGTAAGCTAATTTGTTAGCCTAAAACTTTAATTTGCTATGATCTGGGGAACTGAAAGCTAAGGCCTAAAATTTTATGTGCTGAGTGTCGAATAATAGGTCAAAGCCACGTTCTTCCACAAGTAAAATAATATGGGGCTTAACACAATTGCTTTAGCAATGTGACTCCCCTTTTTCTCTACTTGGTAAGGAGGGCTTATACCCCCACTAAGCAGCATGTTACTGTACTGTCTCATACAGGTCAACGCCCTAACCATAATAATTCTGCTTATATAGAACACAACGGTACTGTTATCTCTAATTGCATGTTAGTGAAATGAGGTCAAGAACGACTAAATTGATTATCCTCTGGTCACACTCAGAAATCCTATGGAGTAGCTTATATCTGTTGTACATAGCTAACTTCCAGACATATAGCAAGTAAATGCCAGTGGGAGAAATTATTATGTAATGTTGTATGTGTGTAAGTTTTATAGTGAAACATTTAATGAATATTTCTATGACTTTAACTAGTTACCTAAATGAGATCTAAAGTTTTCTAGCCATGGTAACCTGGTTATTACAGAGACTTGCAAGGATCTTTGTGTTCGAGAAGAATTTTTCTTAAAAACTGGTGCACTGCTCTTTCCCTGTGTCCCCAGGTCCTGGCATTGATGTGCCTGCCCCAGACATGAGCACAGGTGAGCGGGAGATGTCCTGGATCGCTGATACCTATGCCAGCACCATAGGGCACTATGTGAGTACCCACCGGCAGCCCCGAGGCTTCTGCATTTGCTGTCTACAAGAATTAACAGTTTGACTGATTATATCAGAATCCCTGGGCTTTTCTCTCATTCAATCATAATCTTGATGTGCATATTATTTTATGTCTACTTGTCTGTTCTTAAATCGTAACGAACACAAATGGTGCTTTACTTATATGCTGCCCTATACTTGTCACTGGGAAAGGACACTTACTGACCAGGGCAGCCCACTCTGTATGCTAAGACACTAGAACATACATCAAGAAGCATCCAATTCTGATTTTTCCCTCAGAGGGCTTCCATTTAAAGAGGGACTAAGGCGCATAAGCAGATAAGGTATGGAAATAATGTAATACAACGGTGGAGATTATGAATTCTGAAATAAGACTTTCTAGAGGAGATATTTGGGCTAGACCTTGAAAATGGGTAAAATATGAACATCTAGAGATTTGGAGGATAAGAGGAAGAGAAACAATAGAGTTCAGATTGTCTGAAGGTAAGGCCTATTTATAAAGGTCATAGAAAGTAAGAGTGAAGGCTGGATTCAGTGGCTCGTTCTCGTAATCCCAGCACTTTGGGAGGCCAAGGCAGGTGGATCACTTGAGCCCAGGAGTTGGAGAGCAGCCTGGACAACATGGGGAAACCCTGTCTTTCCAAAAAATACAAAAATTAGCCAAGCGTGGTGGTATACACCTATAATCCCAGCTACCTGGGAGGCACACTTGAGCCTGGGAGGTTGAGGCTTCTGTGAGCCGTGGTTGCGCCACTGCACTCCAGCCTGGGCAATAGAGAGAGACCCTTTCTCAAAAAAATAAGGAAAGTAAGAATGAAGAGGTAAATGAACCAGGACGAAAACACCAAGCACCAGTGTTTGTGTTTTACGTGTAGTCAGTGGAGAAACTTTGCTGATCCTTCCTGGGGAAGAGTAGGCTGGCAGCAGTGTCCAGCTGTGCTGGCGCCAGGAGAGAACCTCCTGTGGTGTCAGCGCCTTTCCACCGAGCCCAGGAGCCAGAGGACCAGGAGAGGAGCATTGGCACATGTGAGGCGCGTGACAGAGAGACTCAGCAAAACTGGATTGGATACATGTGGAATTAAGGAAAGGGACCAGGTTGAGTCACAGAGAACCAGGAGAACCTGAGTCTGGGGACTGAGCAGAGGTAGTACCACAGAACTGAACATGAGAGGAAACATAACTCCTGTCCCTGAAAGGGGTGCAACCTTAAACGATGAAACATTTGAGGAATAGGAAGAGAAATGGAGTCAAAAAATACATTTATGCCTACTACATGCAGGGCCACGGGTAAGCAGGTATTCACTACAACTGGGACAAATTGCTGCAAGTTGTTTTGAAGCTATGAAAAAGAATAACAGGCCCAACCAGTCCTTTCGATCTTTTCAAGGTAAGGTCAGAAAAGGCCTCCTAGGAGATACAGCCTTCTGGTCTGCACTCAGACAGGTGTGTGGGCATGGACTAGGGGAGGGGTAGTGGCAAGTGTTTGGAACAGAAGGAAGTACCTGAGGGAAGGTTCTGAAGTTCAGAAGCTGGGTGAACTTGGGAGGCTAAGGACTGACTATTGTGGCCAAAGTTGAGAAAGAAAGGTGGGGTAAAAAAAGGCCAGTAGAAACAAGGGTCAGGCCAGGTTACCGCTTGGTAGGTGACTGTCAGAACTTTGGTCTTTGTCCTGAAAATACAGGGAAACCAGCAAAGAGCTGGTTTCAAGCAGGTGTGACTCAGCTAAGTGTGCATTTGAAGACTTGAGGGCAGGAGACTACTACAGGGGCCCAGACTGCAAGGGGATATGAAGAGGGAAGCAGGGCATGAAGTATAGCCTCCAACTAAGAAAAATGGCACTGGAGAGAAGCAGAAAGAAGACAGCTTGAAAAGTGGCCGTTGCCCAAAGAAGAAGGTTTTTGTTGTCTTTTGGCATGTGTACTGGCTGTGAGCCACAGATTCACTGGTGCAAGAGAGAGACAATGCTGAAGAGATGCAGGGTGGTAGAGGTAGTGAAGTCCCCCAGGGGAATAAAAGCCTGGGGAATTCTTTCCATAGTGAAAAGACGGGCCTTGGAGAAGAGGAAGAATGTGGAAATGGGGACATTTCCTGAGGTGATGTCATGCCGTGGCTGGGAACATGGGCAGACCACCTGAAGTCTAACCCTGGCACCTTCACCCATCAGTTACATGACCTGGAAGTCTTTTTGCCTCCATTTCCTCCTATGCAAAATGACAGTAATAGTGGTACCTACTTTGTGAGACTCGTATAAGGATTAGATGAATAATAATCTAATGCACTTAGAACTGTACATAGCCCTTAGTAAGTACCAGAAAATAAATATGTATAGGTATTACATCAAGTAAGTTATACAACTCCCTGAAATAAAACAGGAACGATATAGACCCTTCAAGAAATTGTGGTTTCAACTGCCCCTCCCAAAAAGGCTTCCTTTTTATGCTTCCTTCCCTTAGGCCTTGATTTTAGGTTTCTTATCACTTAAGGAAAACTGTTCACCAGTATAGTCCAAGGGGCAGTGCTTCAGAAGACTTTATCTTGCTGTTAGCACTGAGAATAAGCTACAAATAACATACCGCCAACTGGTTTGCACTATTCAATGTAGAGTCTTGCTTAAAAAGTACAAAAGACCAGCTGGGCGTGGTGGCTCACACCTGTAATCCCAGCACTTTGGGAGGCGGAAGCAGGTGGATCACCTGAGGTCAGGAACTCATTTGACAATGAGATCTGGGTGTGGTCTCTTGAATTTTTTTTTTTTTTTTTTTTTTTTTTTTTTTTTT